GAAGCTAAAATTTTGCACTGATCTCTCTTTTGTCTGCAGGCAGGTCAAGTTCGAAGATGGGCTATATGAAAATGAAAAAGTGGATATATTGAGGAATCATTTTGCTCAAATTTATAATGGGCCAGCTCCGAATAGAGATGTTACTCAAGTAGAGACATCGGTAAATAGCTATCTGGCCGATGTGCCAAATCAAATTATTCAATTTAATGCTTAATTTACATTTTTAATAATGAACACGACAGTAAATTCACAACTTTAGAAACAGTTTGCCTAATTTTTGCGAAATTAAATAATAAAACGTCGTGTGGTTTAGACAATATTTCTAATTACCTCCTTCGCAAGCTTCCTTTAAATGCACTACAGTATCTAGTTGTCATATTTAACAATTGCTTAAATAATTCATATTTTCCTACAGTCTGGAAGATTGGAAAGATTCTGCCAATCAAAAAGAAACAAAATTCATCAGATATCAAAAATTTAAGGCCTATTTCGTTGCTATCTAATGTAGGTAAATTATTTGAAAAAATTATACGTGAAAAAATGAATGAGGGTTTACGATCCGAGTATATTCCAAATTATCAATTTGGCTTCAAAAGAGAGCATTCGACTGTAGATGCTTTGACTAAATTTAACAGTGATATAATTTCTAATTTACGTGAAAGGAAATGTAATGTCACGGTTTCTTTGGATGTAGAAAAAGCATTTGATAGAACATATCATGATGGTATATTATTTTAAATGACAGAATTAGGATTTGCAGCTAATGTAGTGAATTTATTTCAAAGTTTTTTTACCAATAGAAAATTTGATATACAATTGGGAAATTTGAAATCATGTGTGGAGAATGTGTCATGCGGTGTTCCTCAGGAATCAATTTTATTTCCTCATTTATTCAATATTTACATGTATCACTTCCCTCATACTATGCAAAATTCTTTGGGTGTATTGTACGCAGACGACTGTCTTTTGTATGCGCACGCTGAATCTCCTGCTGCGGCGTTGTCTATGGTATCTTGTCATTTAAACACAGTTAATGCTTTCTATACTGATTGGGGTATATAAATCAATACTTCTAAGAGCGAGGGTATGTGTTTGCGGAACGCTTCAGGGAAATGTAAGAGATGGGTTGTACCAGAAAGCAAGTCCTTGAAGTTGTCTCTGAAGGCGAGGCTACTTAGGTAAGGCATATCGTATTAAGGGGTCATTTGGAAGACTTCTTAGTAGCAAGCCATTACCGGCGAAAACCAAGATACAAGCTTTACAAAACTAGCATTAGGCCGGTACTGGTGTACGCACTACCTATACCTGAGATATTCGAAAGAAAAATACTTCGTATCTGCGTTGGAAAAAATTTTAAGTACCATTATAAGCGTTTCTCAAATCGGTATATATACGAAGCATCAAAAGTTACCCCAATCTCAGTATATGCTATGCGTTTAATTAAAAACTACGCTAACAGGGCTTTTATGCATTCAAACTTGCTTATTCAGGAATGTGTTAATAAGGAATCTAATTTCACGTGGGAAAATACTAATTACGTCTCACCGTTAGGTATTAACTTGTACATGTCTCTGGAAGATGTCCAGAATTTTACGTTAGCCCCCGTGGAATTCACAGGGGCTAGTTAACAACTTAGATGAACAATCTTTCGTTTGATCATCTCTGTTGTTTAAGTGTAGGTTAGGTTTAGGTTAAGTTAGTTTTAAGGTAAATAAAATGAGACATGCCCTCAAACATTGTAGTGCCGGGAGGAAGCACGATATACACACTTAGTTTAGTAGACACTAATTAACATTTTTTTGTAAAGCCAGACGCTGAAAATACGCTTTAGTCATTAAAACAAAACATTATAGTTTTAAGTATTTCTTTCTTCACTTCAAAATTGTAAATTTTCGTGTTAAAAAAGACTCAATAAATTTGAATTGAATTGAAATAGGCTATATCGGTCCACGATATCAGTATTTTGATGGTTTTACCCACATTTTTCAACGAACTTGTCTGAAATTCCACACAAGGAGCCCCTTGTGAGTACTTTATACCTCAGAAGAGAAATATCTATATAGGTCCACTATATCGTATAGCCCCCATATAACGGTATCCCCCGATATTAGGTATTTTGATGATTTTAGCCACATTTTTTAATGGAATGGTCTGAAAATCCACACAAGGAGTTACTTGTGAGTACTTTATAACTCTGAAGAGAATTATCCATATAGGTCCGCGATATCGTATAGCCCCCATATAACGGTACCCTCCGATATTCGGTATTTTGATGATTTCAGCTGTATTTTTCAACGGAATTGGAGTTCCTTGTGAGCACTTTACCCACTGACAGAGAATTCTCTATATAGGTTAACGATATCATATGTCCCCCATATAACGGTGCCCCTCGATATTCGGTATTTTGATGATTTTAGCCACATTTTTCAACGGAATTGTGGGTATTTTGATGATTTAGCCACATTTTTCAACGGAATTTTACACAAGGGGTTCTTTATGAGCACTTTACCCCCTGGCAGAAAATTATCTATATAGGTCCACAATATCGTATATCGTCCCATATATCGGCAACTTCCGGTATCATATATTTTAAAGATTTTAACAGAATTTTTAATGGATTTTATTTTTATTTTATTTTTTTTTGAAAATTTTCTAATTCGTTCCAAATGGTGGAGGGTATTCAAAGTTCGGCCCGGTCGAACTTACTGCTCTTTTACATGTTAACAGTTAGATTTTCCCAGCGCGTCTCCCACACTCAAAAGTATGTACGAAGTATTTTGTAGACTTGTGCTCACGGGAGAATATCATAATTAAGTAAGGTGCTAGATGCTTACAAAATAAGGCGTTTACGCTGGCTTACTAAACAAAATGGCAATGTCGTAGGCATAAATTTTTGACAGTGTCGGTTGTTTTTCATAAGCTGTAGTACCCATTACGAACTTTACATACGAAATTTGTTACAATTCCGGCGTATAATGTCGCACAAAATATAAAAATATCGAGTATTGGGAGGTACCGTTGTATGGGGGTTATACGATACCTGCATACAAAAATTTGTGTCATAGGCTGTAGTACCCATTACGAACTTTAAATATGAAATTTCAAATAATTCCTGTAAATAATGTCGCTAAAATCATGAAAATACCGAATATCGGGTGGTACCGTTATATGGGGTCTTAACCTTTCTACTGGTAAACTATACATGTATCCAAATTTTAGTCTTCTTTCTTAATCCGTTCGAAAGATAGCGTGACTACAACAGACAGACATCGCTAGATCGTCTAAGAATTTTACACTGATCCAGAATATATACTTTGTAAGGTCTAGGAATGGTGGAGGGTATAATAATGTATTAACAAAGCCAATATAGAGAAAGTTGACTTTGAAAAATAAGAATTTATTCATATTTATAATCTTCTGCAAGAAAAATATTGCACCTTCCAATGTATTATCATGATTTAATAATGCAAAATGTAAATAACGTGTTTCCCAAAACATTTGAAACTTTGGAGTGTACCGCAGTACTACAGGAAAAGTGTAAAAAATCATAGAAAAACACCACTTAAATGGAAAACGTTATATGGGGGTTATACGAAGAACTGCATAAGTAATATTTTTTTCATAGGCTGTAGTACCCATTACAAAATACCAAAATTTGAAATGCCAAACATGAAACAATTACGGTTTATAATGTTTCTAAAAACCTGCATAATATTTCTTGTCATTGGTTGTAGCATGGTACAATGAATAATTGCAAGTATAGAGGTCTACCTTTTTGGCTTGTAATGCCAGAATTACAATCAGAACAACTAAAAAACAAATTAACTTGTTGCATTGATTTTGAATAAAAGATTAAAAAATGCGAAAACTGAATGAAAGGTCAACATTTCTGTTTCATGTTCTTATATCTCTAAAGATTTATTTCGCTGCAAAAACTGTTAATTTTGTCCATGCCTACCTTGAATTTTGAAAGCACCCAAATTTTAATATATTCTAAATAATTTTCATATTATTGAGAAGAATATGCTTACATAAATAATAAAGTTTACATATTAAGCCAAGAAAATAAAAAAATTAAAATCATATGGTATCATAGCCCTACCTTGATATCATTGTACCATGGGTTGTAGTATCCATTAAGATCTTCAGATACGAAATTTAAAACAATTCCAGTAAATAATGTCGCACACACAGAGACACAAACAAATTTTGTTTGTTCAAACAGTCATCAAATAGTTTCAATACTGTTATGGGAATAAAAGTTTGACATATTTAAAAAAATTGTGTTGTCAATGAAATTGTTTGATCAAACTGTGAGGAAACATACGTTTACTTGGCCGAGGTTACTAGAGAGAGAGAGTGAACGAGAGACATAAAGAGAATGCAGTTTAATGTGTTATCTCTTTTGGAGAAGGAAAATAAAAGACCAGCTGTTTATGAATATGAGTGCTTTGCAGAATTTTTGAAATTTAAATAGTACAATCAAACCAAGGTAGGGATTGCATAGATACAAGCCGCCTAGAGAGCGATATTGTGCTTGAGATCAGAGCAAGATTTGAGATACGAGTCTGGGTGCTTGTTTCCCTCGTGTTAGAAGAATTTTTTTGCGTTCCCGTTTTTTTGCTTTTTGTACATTTACAAAACATTGTCACATCTAATTTTAAGAAGTTGTACATACAGCACACTTTTCAGCGCTGCTTTGAGGTCACTGAGAGCACGAACCTTACCCTTCGAGAGTTCTGGATATACCACTTTAATATCGCGATATGTCTTAGAATTATTGATCAGGCCTGACTGAATGTTACAACGAGGACATTAACCTCTGCATGGAAGATTCTGTGGCTTGATACTGTTGCTGAAAGGGCCTTCGGATTGGAACCCGAAGTTTCAGATGTAGAGGAAAAGCCATGGGTCTGGAGGTGGATGAGAGAAATGTGAACGATCTCACCGAGGATCCGTCTCTGGAGCTGACAACCGCGAAGTTAGACGAACTAAATTCCGAGCAGCATACGGTGGATCAACAAAAAATTTGTTCTGAACAGGATTCAGAAATGGTAGAAAAATAAAAGAGATCTTGGAAATATATGAGAAAGTTGTAGAGTTCGTTCACTTCGAAAATGAGGAAACTAATCGTGCACCGGAGGTGTTTAATGAAACTTAACTACACTTAAACTACACTATTTCTATTATGTATTATGTTTCTGTAGAATATGAATTTGTCATTAATAAATTTGTTCTTCTTGGTGTTTTGGGAGCTGGAACGGATTAATGGCATTTCAGTTAATTTTAGGGGGAAACTGCTTTGAGATACGAGCAATTTGACATACGAGCAAGGTTAGGAAACGAATTAAGCTCGTATGTCAAAGTACCACTGTATACGGACATTGTTTACAAAATAATCATGAATGGAGAAATTTTAACCATTTTTGGATCAAATAGATAATTAAAGTTACTTAGAAAATTTTGATATTTTTGTATAAGTTCTTGTCATATATCTTTCTTTTGCACACCACACGCGCGAATCACTCCCACCTCGCAAAATATCTCATCATTACTACACATCATCTCATATAAAAACTCTGGGGAGTTATCGTTGTTGCTACCGCTGTCGAAGCCTTTACCCCACTCCACTGAGTTAGACATTGGTTGCATCGAGCCGGTTTAAAGCCATCATTTTGTCGCTGCTACCTTGCATGAGGAAATCATCGGATTATCTCTCATCATATAATCAACATACATAAGACTAAAAACCAGGTACGTAAATTCAAATCTATATTTGAAGTGAGCTACCCGCGTTTGTTAATTGTTTTTATTTGAGAAAACGTAATATAGGTCGATCTTCAATCACCCTTCGCGTGTGTCATTGTAATTCAAATACAGTCCACTCTTGTTGCATTAAATTGCATTCGTTGTACTGATCAACCTACGTTGCGTTGATCATACATTTGACTTTCGTTTGAAAACAAGTCAGTTGGTCGACTTATATTAACACTTCTTGTGTTAATGAAGTGCATTCCCCTACAACAAGTAGTTCTGATCATCCGTCGTCGCGTTGATCATACAAAACATATTTGATGCTTTATTACCATTTCATTTCTTTCGTTTCTAACTCTAACTTCCAAAGTCGAAACATTTGTGAAAATTTAGCAAAATCATCTCTTTTTGCTTCGCTCACAATTCCTTTTACATCGATTGGATCTTTAAAGAGTTTTTGATGTTGTTTTATTTCCCCTAGCTGTTGCTTTACTCCCTCGCCTTAGTTGAAGAAAAATTTGTATCACCACATTTGTAATAACAGCATACATACACATTCTCGTCGTTTGATTTATTTGTTGTGCAATTTCTCACCAACCACCAACCCTCCACGCTTCAAAGGTTGAGCCCTTTAACGAGAATTGTTTGCTTCTAATTAATAATAACAACACATTTGTATGAAAAGTGCATTTATCTGTCGGTTGATTACTTCGTCGTCGCAAACGCACGTTCAATGTAATTCTTCTTCGTTTCCCTGTAGTCAAGCAGAGAACCTTGTATCTCTATGTCACCACCTATTTTATAGCAAAAATGGATTAGATAAAATGTCAACAACTTCCCTTAATTGCGGGAGTATGTAAACGTTGTAGACGTTATCTGTAGTGTATTTGTGGCAACATTGTCAACGATCGCTTTAATGGTTTTTTACCGTTAGACTTTGATGTCAATAGATACACATTTTTTGATATTTGCTTTGCATCTTATTTCATTAGTTTCTTTTGTGAGAACCACACGTGTTCCTTAAAATTGTGCAAAAACATTGTTGAAGTTATTGTGCGAATAAGGTATATAAAGTGATTGCAAATATAAAAAAATATAAAATATGAGTAAAAGACAATATATAAGTAAAAGACATTATAAGACTTGTTAAAAATCGAGCCACAATCTATATAAACAGAAGTGTACAAAATGAGCAAGAAAATGGTGAATGTGAAATTCTAGAAGACAATGAAAATTTTGTGGAGAGTTTGGAGGATTGTGCTGTTCCGAAATTGACGTTGCGGGACAAATTGAGGAAGTGGTACATCGAGACAGCTCCTCTAGGAAATGCGGGGAGAAGCTCCTATTAATACTAAATGAAGAAGGACTAGATGTTCCACTTCGTATAGAAAGTTTGTTGGGGAAGAAAGCACAGGTTTTAGTGAGAGATGTTTGCCCTTGAAGCTACTGCCACATTGGAATTGAAACGAAGCAAAAGAAGTTCGAACACGTTTTGCAAAACTACGACGAGGTCGTATTGGATATAAACATTGACGGGATTCCACTGTTTAAAAGCTCGCGAGTCCAATTGTGACCAATTCTTTGTAAAATAGTCAACATAAAAGAAAAAACGCAACCTTTTGCTGTTGGTATATACTTAGGAACCACTAAACCGAGTTGCATTAAAGATTATTTAAAAGACTTCATTAAAGGAAATTGCGTTAAATGGAAAAATAATGAAATTAAAGTTTCGTTGCTTAACGTGCGATACTCCAGCAAAAGCTTTCATTTGTGGCGTTCCTGGGCATAGCTCAAAGTATGGTTGTACGAAGTGCACACAGGTTGCGACAAAAGTGAACAATGTACTGACTACAGTAGCGCTGTTGGAACTTTGATATCCGACATTGTTTTTAGTTTGAGAAAGTATCCCAACCATCATTCTGAACTGTTTAAGAAAGAGAGAACTCCGCTTGAAGAAATAGGATTTGGCATTGTATCACAGACTCCGTTAGATAGCATGCATCTTATTGACCTTGGAGTCACAAAAAAAAATGCTTATTAGAATAGTGAACAACAAAACACAAGAAAAGACTCCAAAAAATATATCAGAAATATCTTCTGACCTAGAATACCTAGGTCTTTAGATGACCTGCATCACTGGATAGCGACTAAATCTCACCAGTTCCTCGCATATACGGGCCTAATTCATAATAAAGTACATCAGAATATTTTCTACGAGTTTTTAACATTACATTGTGTTTATCGGCTACTTACCACCCCGCGACACGTTGGTGAAAATATTAAATAGTCTAATGATTTGCTTCAATTATTTGTCGAGAATTTCTCAACTGTATTCGGGTCAAACAGTATTTCTTATAATGTCCACAATCTGCTACGTTTCTCCTCTTGTGCAGAAAATTACGGCCCCCTTATTTCGTTTTCTGCATACGACTTCGAAAACAAACTTCAGATTTTGAAAAGACATGTCCGAAACCCCTCATTGATCCTTCAACAAATTGTACGAAAAGAAAAACTCACAGCCTATATTCAAACTAAAAATTATGACAATAAATACGAAAGAGATATAATTGTAGGAGCTTTTGTTAATGACTGTTACATTTCTTGGAAGGAGCCTGATAATATTTGTTCCACGACTTCATTTACTGCTATAAAAATTAAAAATATAAATAAAGTCGATGAAGTTGATATTGAAGATCGGCCATTGTTGTTCTTAGAGAGTTTTTACGATTAACCCGTAAATTCTTGTGAACTAGGCATCTTCAAAACAAATTTAGCTTTGGGCGAAAAGCACAAATGTTCAATTAGAGACGTGCAATATAAATTTGTATGCCCGTCATTCCACTTGGATTACGTAATAATACCCATTTTACACTCATGCGTTCCACAAAAAGTACAAGCCAATATTCCAAGATCGTCCAGTATGTAGCACATTGTTAATATTTATTTTGTACACCCGCTCTACACAACAATGTCTGACGAAAAAGCAATACCGTTCAAAGGAAATATGAAATATTATACTTCAGAAGGTAAGTTTTAATATAACTAATTCACATTACCTAAATAGTATTCTTTACAACATTATATATTTTTCCAGCAACTTCAAAGTGTACTTCCTGTGAAGATATAGGAAAAAATGGACACGATACTGCAGATTTTAGGCGAGCATAAAATTTTGCTAGATCGCATTAGTTCCTAAAACTCGATTGTACAAAATAATGGCCATCTTCCTAATAAACACGGACGTAAGTCTAAAGCAATTAGAAGACTTATTAGCAACACAGTCAGACCCATACGTATTTATTTATATATAATTATTTTTTATATTTATAATTATTTTTGCAGATTCGCCAAATGAAAAGTCTCGTTGGTGGCACCGTCGCACGCAATCTACACCTTATATTTGGAAAATCTATTATAATAAATTACAATGTGAATGGAACTTTTGGCAAAAAAGTTGATCTAAATATGGAAAAGTCCATGCAGCAATAATAGGTACAAATCCAAAAAACCAAAAATACCAATAATTAAATATAATCGTTTTGTTTTAATATTTAGATGTAATAACAACGTATGACAAGTGTGCAGACAAGGCTCTAAGAACAGCTTTTCAACGCAAAAAAAAAAAATAAATTGTTTTGATCTCCAACTCTCACTGTTGGATCGTTTGTGGCGTCGCTTGTTGTGTGGGTGAGTAACGGCTTACGCAAGTTAACATTAAAAAAATTATCATTTCTTGTAATAGACGAATATAAGCTTTTCCCACAATACTTGCATTGACACGAGCATCCGTTCTTATTTCTGTTCTCTCCAAAATTTGCTGACACCATGTCTGCTATCACCTCAGGTGATTTCTTTGTAATTTAAGTAAACATAATCATAACCATAATGAAATATGTAACTATAAGTTTATTTCAGTTGTTAAATATAACTCAATAAAGGAGGTTCACTCCCATAAAACAAAATAAAAATTATTTTTTTAATAAAATAAAGTTATGTTTTTTTAACTCGCAGTCATTTCTCTGCCGACGTCGCATTGAAAGATTTGTCACATTGAAAGAGATTTTCTTAATTTCTCTCCTATTTAACTCTGCTGTATCTTCAATATTTATAACAATTTGACTTATTTGGAGGTTTTTATTTGTGGAAATTGCTCATTGTATTTGTTGAAAAATTAGTAAAAAAAAATCGATTTCTCCTCACCCGCTTTGTAAGAGCTGCTGACACAGTTCGGAAGAGTGTTGAATATTTTGAACAAATCGACGAATCAAAGTTCAATGTGTGCAGTCCTAAAATCCGAAATTCAGAGATTCGAGAACTTTGGGACAAAGTCTTGTGTACTTATGCAAAATGTACCTCAAGACTACCGATAGTTTTTATGTTATTGAGGAAAAATAAAATGCAGCTTGCATTGCTTATATTCGTTGTTTATCCACCATGAGCAGGCAATTGATCGCCTTAAAGCTCCACTCAATGAAAATTGTTCTTCTGCACCTCCATCTGCCCTGTGTTTTGCAAATCCCGTCTATAATATCGCCTTACCTTGTAAAGGGTAGGTCAACTGTAACTAATTTATTAGAACTTATATGTTATGTACACAGGGGTTTTCAATAAAATGCCAAACTGATATTATATATACTGATTTCAGTAAGGCTTTTGACAAAGTGGATCACACATTATTATTACATAAACTTGACAAAATGGGTTTCGCAACATTATTTTTATCATGGATATCTTCTTATTTGCAAGGGCGTACATAGAGAGTTTCTTTCAATAATGTTCTTTCTAAGCAGATAACTGTGTACTCTGGTGTCCCCCAGGGTAGCCATTTAGGTCCTCTACTTTTTGTATTGTATCTAAATGACCTTCCATCGGTTATACGTTACTCTAAGATCCTAAAGTTTGCTGATGATGTCAAACTTTTTTGTAATATGGACTCTCACATTAGTTTCCTTAACTTGCAACATGATATCTACTGCCTTGTTAATTGGTGCAGTGCTAATGGTATGACGCTAAATCTCAAGAAATGTAAAAAACTGTCTTTGTTTAGAACACAACCTTTTAAAAGTGATTACCTCATTGGTTCTTATAAATTGGACAATGTAGACTCATTCGTTGATCTTGATGTAATTTTAGACAATAAATTGCGTTTTAATTTGCATATTGATTCATGTGTAAATAAAGCCAAGTCATTGCTGGGTTTTATAAAAAGATGGTCAAAAGAATTTGACGATCCTTATGTGGCTAAGCGTTTATTTATTAGTTTGGTTCGGCCCACTTTAGAATACGGTTGCGTATTGTGGAGTCCTTTTTATAAAACATATTCTGCTAAATTGGAATCAGTACAAACCCAATTTCTTTTATTTGCTCTCAGAGGATTAGGATGGGATACAAATGATACACTTCCACCATATGAGAATCGCCTAAAACTAATTGATCTTCCGACACTGGAAAAGAGACGTTTAATGTTAAGAGCTTTATTTATTATAAAAATCTTATAATCCTATGAGGTCTTTATGTGATATCTACAACAAATTATATAATGAGATATCATTGACAGACCCTTTGCATGTCATTAAACACACTATTTTACATCTTTAGTATGCTTAATACTAGATTGCCAGATTCTCTATTATCTACTCTTATCTGTACCATAGTACCATATATTGATTTCGAAATCTCTTCTGGAGATTTTATTTCTTGGCCTACCTTTAGCGATCTATTTACCACCCTCTTTGTTAAAAATGCACGTCTTTCAAACATAGAACGTCTTTGTGATCTGAGGCAGAAGACTACTGGTGAGGCTCGAGAAATCGTTTACAGATTTCCACTCACCAATAGTAGTTTTCATTTAGCGTGGAAAGTATTGTCGGATACCTATGACAATAAGCGTATCCTAGTAAATAGTCACATTAGCCGTTTATTCGAAATTCCCTCTATTGAAAAAGAGACTAGTCATTCTTTGAAAACAGTTCAACGTGAAATTAACAGTTGTCTCGCTGCCAATTATTGTGTATATGTTTGCAGAGCTTGCCAAAATTAACTTTAGCTCTGTGGTCTTCGTTAATAGGCGTTAATCTTGCCTAAGGTCAAAGGAAAGTTCTCGTCACCATCCACTTGTAATTTAAAGACTCAAATACCTGATCTTGAATAAGCGGATTCTTTCGATGATAGATTAATAGATTTGCTACTTGACGCTTACATGTATCCTAAAATTCTAGAAGCTGAACCTCCAAAATAGTTTTGGATTCTTTGCTGGCCCAAAAGTCTATTTTCGGGTATATCCTCACCGGTTCAGTACCTCCCGCGAGTGTAACATAATCTTGCATACAATATTGAAATCAATCATTAAGATAGAAAACAATTGTATCAATTAAAGTCTAAATTTTTTGAAATAGTCACTTGCGCCAAACATTGAATTTGTAGACCGAATCTATTGGCAATTCATCAAATCGCTGTGAAATCTGCAACTATAGCTCACTTAGGAATCTTAATTTACGTTCCTTCCTAATTTATGATAACTTTATATAGATTTCTAGACTCGTAGTTTTAGCAAGGGGGCCGGAATGTTCGATACGTTCCACCATAACTTCCCTTGCTCGATCAATCACGGATGCTGATTGGCGCACTGGCATCTCCTCTACAACTCCCTTGGCGGAGACCGTAGTGAGCGGATCGCCGCTGGATATTGGTTGTTGTCGGTTTGCTCTCATTGGATGTAGTTGTAATAATAAACAGAAATGATACCCTCAACGGTCTTTCAGAACCATGGCGTTCACTTGTCTTGTAGAAACGAAAGCGTAAGCACGCGGCCTCTGTCGCCACTCCAATTACAGGAGGTAATTTGTCGTTGAAAAGAAAGAACAACAATGAACCATGACCTTAATTTAGAATCTCACTAATTATTTCTTGTCATATCTCTTTCTTTTGCATACCACACGAGCGGATCACCCGCACCTCACCAAATATACCACTATTACTACATATTATCTCACATAAAAACTTTGGGGAGTTATATTGTTGCTACCGCTGTCGAAGACTTTCCCCCACTCCAATGAGTTTTGTTTTTTTCGATCGTTCCCAACGCCTCGCTTTCCCGCCCCTACCGACCGAGAGGGCCACCTCTCCATAACGTAGGGAGCACGTACACCCCATAGTCCGGATTATAGGGGGTTAGTAGACTTGGGAAACCGGCTACATTAGAACATCAGCCGGTTTAACTATTAAAATACTTAAAGTATCTAAACTAAACTACAGTAAAACTAAACAGTACAAATACTAAATCACAGAAACTAAGTCTGGCAACTATTTTATAAACTAAGAACGTAGGATAGAGTTTTTTATGACATGGAAGGGTTCACACAAAGAAATCGTGTTGTATAATTTATTATAATCAGCACATAAACTTCGGAGAGGATTATTTATTTCATAGTTCGATTTTGCTAATGTTAGTTTAAGTGGTATGTAATAACGCGTATTTCACGAGGGGACATTGAATTTAATTTCACCAGTTAAAAACTCAGAATCAATTTGACCACGCAAAAGTTTTATGATAAAAATACATCTAAGCATTAATCTCCTTTTCTCTAGTGTAATTTTACATATTTTTAAATTTAATGACATTCCATTGACACTACACCAATGAGTAAGAGAATACAAGTCCTGTTGCAGATTAAGCGATTCGTTGTGGGAATCAAGAGTGCAGAAAAGTTTAACATCGTCAGCAAACATTAATATTTTTGAGTCGCGAAGAATAGATGGAAGGTCATTTAAATAAAGTACAAAATGTAGTGGACCTAAATGGCTACCCTGAGGAACACCAGAAAATACTGTAATATTTTTAGAGAGAGTATTATTAAAAGATACCTTTTGGGTACGGTCATGCAAATAAGACGATATCCATTTTAGGAGAATTGTCGAGAAACCCATTAAGTCAAGTTAATATATTAACAAATTATGCACCACCCTATCGAAAGCTTTACTGAAATCAGTATATATAATATCAGTTTGGAGATTTTTTGAGAATCCAGTGTGAACATTAGAGACCAGTTCTAATAAATTTGTCAAAGTTGATCTTCCTTTAACAAAACCATGCTGGTGCGGTGATACTATAGATGTAACGAAATGAGTTATTCGTTGTGTAACCAAACGCTCAAAAAGTTTGGGAATTGCACTTAGATTTGCAATTCCCCTATAATTTTCAATAACACATCTACTGTCAGCTTTATGCAATGGAATAATAAAGCTCGAACGGCAAATAAGAGGAAAATACCCTAGGGTTAACGAAGTATTAAAAATACTTGTTAGAGGAAGATATAGTTCATGTGCACATGCCTTTAAAATGAAAGACGGTACACCATCTGGACCCGGTGAATTGGAACATTTCAATGAAAGTAGACCTTTCAACACTTCATCTGATGTGAGAATAATATGAGGAAAATGATTAAGTTTATTAATACTATAAGAGTATTTTACACCTTTAGTGGAATGTTTGGAATACGTACTTTGAAAAAAATCTGCAAACATGTCTGCTATTTCCTTAGGTTCACTCGATTCTCTACTTCCGAATCGCATACTACTGGGAAATTCACGGACTTTTCTTTTGAATTAACGAATTTATAAAAGTTCTTAGGATTTTTATAGAGGCTGTTTCTCATCTTGACTAGGTATTCAGAGTAACATTTAGAATTTTCAGTGTTGTATAAACTTCTAGCATTTGTATAATTAGTAAGGTTTATGGTAGAATTGATTTTTTTTTAAATTTTTTAAATAACCTGCTTTTTATGTTACGTAAGCGCCTAAGTTGTGGGGTAAACCAAACTGGACCCCTATCACAGCACATTTTCACAAGTGGGACTGAGGTTTCTATTACATTGTTAATTATTTTAAAAAAGCTTGAAATTCAAAACTCCAAATTACCTTCAAAACACCAATTTATATTGGACAATGTAGAACGCAACAGATCAACGTT